CACATTCTACAGGAGGAGCATACAACTGCCCTAACATCCATTCCCACTGTTCTGAATTCCCAAACAGACAAATTAAAAAAAAATACTGGTCGCCTTACCAAATCAGCGCTCAGAACCTTTTTTTTTGGTTAGAGGAGGAGGATGGGTGGGAGACACTACCTAGGTAGTGGTTCGGGTAAAGCAACCGCCCAAATATATTACCTCACTTAGTCCAAAAATGGAGTCACGCGAGGTAAGACTTTTATAATCGAAAAGCTCACCTTCCCAGGCTGCCCTCGTGCTTCCTCCCGGACTCCCGCCGCTGAAACAACTGAAAGGCCGCAGTCACGCGAGGTAAGCAGTCAGAATTAACACGTTCCCGGTTTTCAGCTCAATGAGTTAATGTGTGATCAGGCTTTGTCAGATTCTAATTCACTTTCTGAATCTTTCACTTGATTTATGTGAGACCCCGTAGGTTTCAATTCTACCTCCTCCAATTGCTCCCTTAACTCCACTTTAACTTAAATCACTTAAGTTTCTGACCCTACCTTATCATAACTCGGGTGTTGATTAATTTGAGGTTCAGGAATTGTCACTTGCTTCATACAAACGTATCTTTGTTTGTTTTGCTGAGGATGGCTGAGATGAGCATTTGGTTTGCAGCTGAATGATTATGTCTGTTAACTTCAAATTCCCATTGAATGTTTTAATGGAAATAAAACTGATTTTCAGCCTTTGAACAGAAACTCAATGGGAAAGATATCTATAAGTAAACTTAATATTAACTCCCTTCAAACAAAAGAGCTGAGATGGAGAGGATATATAGAATTTAAACCCAAATTTGGGGCTAAAAGAGAAATAACGAGAGAAATATTGGGTTGAGAGAAAGGGGGGAAAAATAAGAAAATATTAAGTACAAATTTTGATATTTTTAAGACCACCAACAATTTGCAACCTGACTTGATGTGACATTTACTGTGAGTGAGATTGATATGAAGGATGATCTTATTAAAATATCACCAATTTTGAAGGGTTTGACAAGTGGATACTGAGACAGTGCTTCCCCTCATGACAGAATCTACAAAAATCAGGCACAGTTTCGAAATATGTGATCTCCCATTTTAGATGGCTGTAAAGAAGAATTTTGTCTCTTTGGCAGTTTTAATTTTTGGAATTCTCTTTCCCAGAGAGCAGTGGCAGCAAGGTCACTGAATATATTCAAGTCTGAGTTAGATACTTGAGATTAGGAAAGAAAATGAAGTTAAAGCCACAATAAAATTCAGCTATGATCTTATTGAATGGCTGAGCAGGCTCAAGGGCTCCATGTGTTCAACAAGGCATCAATTATCAGTAATCATTTAGCTTTATGAATAGTTTTCACCACCTTGGATTGTTTTTGCTAGAGCGTTGGGAGGCTGAAGGGCCGTCATGGATAGTTGGAATCTACTTTTTTTCTAGGGTGGTAATGTCAAAAACTAGGGTGTGTAGGTTTAAGATGAGAGGGAAAAAGTTTGAAGAAGATTTGCAAGGCAAGTTTTGAAGCAGACACATAGCAACATTTAAGAGACGTTTGGATAGAGACATAAACGGGCAGGGAATAGAGAAATACGGGCCATGTGCAGGTAGATGGGATTAGTTTAGAACATCATTATGATTGGCACACACATGGTGGGCTGAGGGGCCTGTTCCAATGCTGTACTGCTCAAATTCTGTGTAATGTCTATTCATTTGCTTGGCAAGAGGCATAAAGCAGGGCTTTGTGCTCATTAACACTAACCTCTGGTGGAACATTCTGTGTCACCTCCTGTATAATCTTCTAACAAAATGTAGCTTTCTGAGAAATCATGGATAACTTTGTAAGCTGCTGAGAACAACATTTTGTCACACCGGAAAAATTTATTCTTCTTCTGAGTCACTTATCAATTGAATCTAGGAAATGAGTTCCAAATTTTGAGGCAGTTGCGTAGTAAGGAGGTAACCACCATCTATCTCTTTAGATGTCCTGTTGGCACAAAGGCTGAAATTGTTGTGTCCCCATCAATTTGAGCTGTTTCAGCTCTTTATATGGTATAAATGTAATAATCACTTGGGAGTTTTAGGTTTGTTGGATTCAGTCTTGATTTCTCTCCTAATAAAGGTACAGCTACTCTTGTGTAGCATGACCTTTCTTCCTTAACTGACATAGAAATGTTTTGTTAAACTCCTAGTTTCTAATGACCGATTGAAGGTAAATGCTAAAATTAAATAATTCTCTGTAACATTAAAAACTTGGAAACTAGAAACAAGATTGTTTTCTTTTTCTAGAACTGTTAATGATATGATCACGAAAGTCAATGAATCTGAGTTGCATGTTTAGTTCTTTCATAAACTTTTGGTAGTTCGGAAACTATTATTTTGCCAATTTTCTGTTATTAAACTTAAGAACCTGTCTATGTAAACCTTCAGTACGTATCTGAGCATCTCTCCTCAGTTCCTTTATAATATCTGGGTTGGTGTGATCTGGTTAAAATGTGTTAAAAAGACTAGATGGCATCCTCCTCAGCAAGTTCATTCCCTTAGTGGAGACTGACATCAATTCTTCATACCAATTCAAGTGTGTGTAAGGTCTGTAGTTCTTCAGTTTTAACAGAAGTGAACGTGATTGAAAATAGACATGAATAGGGGTAAAGATTAGAATTCCTTCAGCAACATAAGACCACAAGACATTGGAGCAGAATTAGGCCATTCAGTCCATCGTGTCTGTTCTGCCATTCAGTCACCTTTTCCCTGTAGCCCTTAATTCCCGTATCAATCAAAAACCTATTTATCTCTGTCTTAAATACACTCAATGACTTGGCCTCCTTTCTGCGGCAACGAAGGTTCACCCACCGTCTGGCTGAAGAAATTCCTCTTCGTCTTAGTTCTAAATGGCCGTCCCTTTACTCTGAGGCTGTGTCCTTGGGTCCTAGCCTCTCCTACTCGTGGAAGCATCTTCTCCATGTCCAGTCTATCCAGGCCCCTCGGTATTCTTTTAGTTTCAATGAGATCCTCCCTCATCCTTCTAAACTCCATGGAGTAGACACATAGTCCTCAATCACTCCTCACATGACGAGCTCTTCATCACCGGAATCATTCATGTAAACCTCTTCCAAGGCCAGCACTCCCTTCCTTAAATATGGGGCCCAAAACTGCTCGCAGCATCCCAAATTCAATCTGACCAAAGCCTAATACAGCCTCAGCAGTACATTTCTGCTGTTGTATTCTCGCCCTCCTACAATGAATGCTAACATCACATTTGCCTTACTAACTGCCAGCTGATCCCACATTTCAACTTCAAGAAAATCTTGAACTAGGACTCTGAAATCCTTTTTGTGCTTCGGATTTCCGAAGCCATTCCCCATAGAGAAATTAGTCTACACCTCTATCCTTCCCACCAAAGTGAATAACCTCTCACTTTCCTACATTGTATTCAATCTAGCATTTGTTTGCCCACTCTCTTAGCCTGTCCATGTCCTTCTTCAGTCTCTCCACTTCCTCAACACTATCTGCTCCTCCACCTATCATTGTGTGTCTGCAAACAACACTGACAGTTTTATTGTTACCTCATCTGATAATTATTCTATCACCTTAACATTTGCATTTTATTGTTTTGGAACATTGTGCTAGCTGCTGGTTCCTAGTTGAGTAGTAATGCAAGTTATGTTGTTTTATATGTCTTCCAATTCTGTGTATGACTGTGTCACTGCCTTAAAATTTTATTTTTGTTTTTGTTACAGGGGGAGTAATCTGAAAGATGTAAGTATATTTTGTCTATAATTCCTTTTGTTTCCCTTGATCAGTGCAATGTACTGAGAATATGTTTAGAAATCACAGGAACTGAATCTTTGTGAAAACAGGTCAGAATGTAAAGGTGCCATACTTTCATCTAAACCTGTGTAGGGATTGATAAGTTCTTTCCTTCAGAAAGTGTAACCATAAAGCAGAACTGAGCATATTAAGTCCTGCTGCTGTTCATGAAACTAGAACAATTCTTTGGAGGAATTTAGGAACATTTATTAACGTTTATGAAATCTTTCGGTATGATTGTAGGTCGAATAGGGCTTCTGAGCCTGGGGCTCATCCGTTCCTTCTGCTTTCCTTTTAGTTTCTTTTATTTCTCTTCTCTTTATTTTTCTTTTCCCTCTTTTAGTTATCTCTTGTTCATAGGTTCGTAAGCCATTCAGCCCATCAAAGTCTGCTCTGCCATTTGATCATGGCTGATATGCTCCTCACCCCCATTTTACTGCCTTCTCTCCATAATGCTTCAACCCATTAACAAGTAAAAATCTGTCTAACTCCTCCTTAAATTTACTGACTGCCCCAGCATCCACCGCACTTTGGGGTAGCGAATTCCATAGATTCACAACCCTTTAGGAGAAGTTTGTCCTCAACTCTGTTTTAAATTTGCTAGCCCTTAAGCCTAAGACTATGACCCCTTGTTCTAGAATGCCCCACAAGAGGAAGCATCTGCTCCATGTCTATTTTATCTATACCTTTTTATCATCTTGAATACCTCAATTTGATCTTCCCTCTTTCTTCTAAATTCCAGAGAGTATAGGCCTAAACTGTTCAATCTCTCTTCATATAACAACCCCAGTCTCTGGGATCAATCTAGTGAACCTCCTCTGAATTGCTTCCAATGCGACTATATCTTTCCTCAAATAAGGGGACCAAAACTCTGCATAATACTTGAGGTGTGGTCTCACCAATGCCTTTTATATTCTATTCCTTTAGCCATAAAAGCCAACATTCTATTCACTTTCTTTATTATCTGCTGTACCTGCATGCTAGTTTTCTGTGACTCATGAATGAGGACACCCAGATCCCTCTGTTCCGGAGCACCCCAAAGTCACTCCCCATTTAGATAATAGGTCGCCTTCCCGCTTTTCCAACCAAAATGCATGACCTCACACTTATCCACGTTAAACTCTACCACATTTTGGCCTACTCTCCTAACCATCTATATCCATTTGTAATGTTCTCATTTCCTCATGGCAAGTTACCATCACATCTATTTGTGTCATCTGCAAATTTTGGCTATAGAGCCTTCCATCCCTGTATCCAAGTCGTTTTATGTAGATTGTAAATAGATGGGATCCAAGGACCGAACTCTGTAGCACCCCACTAGTTACTTCTTGCCATCCAGGAAAAGAAAACATTTATCCCTATTGTCTGTCTTCTGTCCATTAGCCAGTCACCTATCCAAGCTAATGAATTACCCCTAATCCCATATGATCCAACATTGTGTATTAACCTTTTGTGCATCACCTTACCAAATGCCTTCCAGAAGTCCAGATATATTACGTCTACAGGATCGTCATTATCCACTTTGCTTGTTACATTTTCTAAGAACTCTAGCAAATTAGTCAAACATGATTTGCCCTTCAGAAAACTATGCTGACTTTGGTTGGCATTTTGACTTTCCAAATGTCCTGATATTGCTTCCTTGATAATTGATTCTAACACTTTGCCAACAACAGGTGTTAAACTAACTGGTTGGTAATTTCCAAAATGTTGCCTCCTCCCTTTTTGAATAAGGGCATTACATTAGCATTTTTCCAATCCACTGGAACCTTTCCTGTGTCCAGGCAATTTTGGAATATTGTAATGGATGGATCCACTATCTCTGCCGCTACTTCCTTTAAAACCCTAGGATGTAGACCATCAGGCCCAGTGGACTTGTCTGCCCTCAATCCTAATTGTTTGTTTGAGTACCTTTTTCCCTCTTGATGTTGATTGTTCTATGTTCTACCCTTTCTATTTCCTCTGATTTGCCTGTTCCAATTGGAATGGTACTGAGGCGAAGTATTGATTAAGCATCTCTGAGATAGTAAGACCTGCCAATGCTGAAGTCAAAGATAACACAGTGTGGAGCTGGAAGAATGCAGCATCAGAGGAGCAGAAAAGTTGACATTTCGGGTCAGGACCCTCTGAGGAAGAATCCCGACCCGAAACGTCAACTTTCCTGCTCCTGGCCTGCTGTGTTATCTCTGATTTAGCATCTCTGCCATTTCAGTGTTCCTCGCTGTTAACTCTCCAGTTTCATCTTCCAAAGGACCAAGATTCTACCTTAGTGACTCTCATCCCTTTTAAATACCTATAGAAGCTTTTGCTATCCTTTTTGATATTTTGTGCTGGTTTTCTTTTGTAATTTACCTTGGCTCTTATTAATTTTTATTTAGTATCCCTTTATTTATGTTTGAAATTTTTCCAATCCTCCTGCCTGGCACTGGCCTTTGCAATATGGTTTTCCTTAGTTTTTGACTTTCTATTGTCCTTGACCACCTTGTTTAGTCATGGAAGTTGTTAACCCCTCCCCATAACTATCTTTCTTCCTGACTGGGATATATTTCAGTTGAGGAATTGAGTTGCTCTTCAACTGCCACTGCTCATCTGCTGACTTACCTTTTAGACTTCTTGCCCAGTCTACTTGGGCCAAATCTGTCGTCCTGCCTATGTAATTTCCTTTGTTTAATTCCAGAACACTACTGTGGGACTGCACTTTCTCACCCCCCAAAGTGCATTTTGAATTCTATCAAACTATGGTCACTACTCCCTAGAGGATCCTTAACTATGGTGTCATCAATTAATCTGCCCTCATTACACAATGCCAAATCCAGAGTAACCTGCTGCCTGGTTGGTTCCACAACATACTGCTCCAAGAAACAATCTCTAATACATTCAATGAACTCTGCCTCCAGGCTACCCTTGCCAATTTGATTCTTCCAATCTATGTGCATGTTAAAATCACCCATGATTATTGCTGTACCTTTCTTGCAAGCCTCTAATATTTCTTGGTTAATACTGTGCCCCACTGTGGAACTACTGTTTGGGGATCTATAGATTACTCCTACCAAGTACTTCTTCCCTTTGTTATTTCTTATTTCTACCCAGACTGATTCCACATCTTGATCTCCCATGTTAATGTATTTCTCATTACAGCACTGATCCCATCCTTCACCAGTAAAGCTACACCACCACTTTTTCCTTTCAGTCTATCCCTCTGAAATGCTGAGTACCCTTGGATATTCAAATCCCAGATCTGGTCTCCTTGTAACAATGTCTCAGTAAATGCTACCAAATTGTACCTTTTTTGTTTATATTTGTGTCATTAACTCATTAATTTTGTTTCAAATGCTTTGGGCATTTCAATACAAAGGTTTTAAATTTGTTGTACTGGTAAATTTCCCTACTGTTTATAAATCCTTGGTGCAGAAGGCCAATCGCCTGTTCTGTCTGTAACCTTTTATTGTCTGGTAACCATCTGGCACATTACTAACCTGTAGTCTTACCTCCTCCTTTAGTTTGGGTTTTCTAATGTCCCCTATAACTGAACCCCACTCCCCCACCCGCCCCCAACCACCGCATTTAGTTTAAAGCCCTGTCTGCAGCCCTAGTTATGTGGTTCACCAGGATTCTGGTTTTAGCACGATTCAAATGAAGACCGTCCCATTGAAACAGGCCCCTTCTTCCCCAGTACTGGTGCCAATGTTCCATGAATTCAAACCCATTTCTTCCACACCAATCTTTAAGCCATGCATTTACGCACTTAGTCTTATTTGAGGATCTCGATCATGGCAGCAGTGAGTGAGCCCAGTGTGGAATTGAGTGGGCCCAGCATGATGGATGGCAAAGGCATTGGAGGCAGGTTTGGATTCCTGGCAGCTTCTACATTGATGAGGTGGTCCTGGTGCCGACACATGGCTGCTACAGTGGAGGTCACTTTGGATTCTTGTCTGCATCCAGTGCACTTTCATGGAAGTGGCAGTGGAGGCGGGTTTGGGGGCCCTGAACGAGACCTGGCAGTGACTGCATTGGCAAGGTAGACCCAAAGCAGATTCCTGACAGTGGAGTTGTTTTGGCTGGTGCAGTACCCAGGGAAATCAGTGGCGTCTGCATTGATGAGATACAGTGAGGATTCATACTGGTGAGGGCATCAGTGGAGGTGAGATGGTGCTGAAGAGTGGCGACTTCCATTCTAGCAGTGGTGGCTGAAGGGAACTCGTGTGGCTAACCAGGCCCATGGCAGAGCACTTAACAAGGACTGTAAAGTTGAACACTTTTTTTTTCTTCATTTCTTTAATTTTTCTGCCTTTTATATTTTATGTTTTGGTTTACTTTCCTGTGTTTTAAGATGGTGCCAGATAGTAGCGACTATACGACACACTTCACTGTATTTTGTAACACAATACATGTGACAATAAGTAAATCAAATTAAATAAAGTTGAAATGAATAGTGCATCTGAGTCATAAATCATACCAGAGAGAAAGTGGTATTCTGAGGCGTTTACTTAATGAGCTGGAGTTGATAAGATGTAGGAATTGGGATGTCATGTTGTGGCTGTACAGGATATTAGTGAGGTCACTGTTTGGAATACTGCCTACAATTTGGGTTGCCCTACTGTAGGAAAGGTGTTGTTAAAATTGAGGAAGGTCCAGAAAAGATTTAAAAGGATTTTGTTGGGATTGGAGTGTTTGAATTACAGGGAGAGGCCGAATAGGCTTGGGGCTGTTTATTTGCCTGCAGCATTGGAGGCTGAGGGGTGACTTTATAGAGGTTTATAAAATCATGACAGGAATGATTAGGGTGACTAGCTAAGATCTTTTACCTATGATGGGGGGAGGGGCAGTACAAAACTGGAGGACATAAGACAACTGGCGGGGCAGGCTCGAGGGGCCAGATGGCCTACTCCTGCTCCTAGTTCTTATGTTCTTATGTACAGGGTCAACCACTGTGTGTAATGATCACAGTTGATGTTAGTATCAGACAAGTCAGTCCCCAAACCTAGCTTGATTGCTCATATTTTGGTTTTGTTTAGTTACTGAATTGGTTTCTAAGTATGACATAAGCATGCAATGCTGCAGACTTTTGCTTTAATGAGAACAGATGTTTATGAACAAAAGGAATGCAGATTAAATAGAATAAACCAAGCCATCTAATTATGCAAATTCAAGATTTTTGAGCATACATAAAAGTATAGTCCCATTAATCTGAAGATGCTTTTTAAATTGAAAAGAAAAATGCACAGTGCTTATATCCAGAACATCACCCATACAGGGACTAACACTTCAGCAAGTTTAAGTCACCTGTCACCTATGACCTGAACACTCTGTAGATTCTTCCTGGAGCTATTAAACACCTAAGCTTAAATGTTCTGAGCTTCACGATTTTATCCCAACATCTCTGGTCTGGGTCTAGCACTAACTCTTCACTCTATGGTAACTGAGTTCGCTATATTCCCTCCCTTCTCAGGAGCACTGATCTATATAGCCATTTCCATCCAAGGATTTCATTGGACTGCTGCACTAAAAGTAAAATTGAATGCAATTGAATGCAACTGTCTGAGCTATGGGTGTTTCCCCTTGAGCTTAAAAAATGTTCTAGAAATCTCAAACAAAACCTGAGGACCCGTTACTTTACTTGCTGCATCGCAAAGCAATCCAAGATAAACAAAAATGCATTAGTAGTGCACATAAACCCATTCGCTCTAAATCCAGATGTTGAGACCATCACCACTTTTATTTTACTCATTTTTGTTTGGAACAGAGAGTTGCATTTTAGAATTTAACTTCTAATAGCAGCTTGTTTTAGAGAGGAGATACAAAGTACAGATGCTTTGCTGTTTGGATTTGGCATGGAAAGATGATGCAGATTAATTGATTCAGCACCAAGATGTGTATCTGCTCAGGGACTAGCAGCTGGATATTGAATTGGTCAATCAAAGGAGGACTGATGCTGGCCAGCCAACCACAAAGAATGCTGGAAAAGAAAGAGAAAACAAACTGAACTGACTCTGACTGGATTTTGAGCAGGAGGCAATTTTAGAAGGTGTCAGACTGGGAAGCTTTTTTTTTGTTTTGCTTCCTTTCTAGTTATTTTCCACTTATCAACTTGTTGAAAGTTCTGGGAACAGAAATCCAGCTTTTCAAAAAAAAGTAAGTCTCCAAAGGTCTGTAGAAGCTGTTTGTATTGATTAGTGACATCAAAATTCAAGCAAGATATTCAGATCTGTGTGCCTGTAATACAACCTATCATCCAAGGATCTCTGAAATAGGTTTTAAATTGACAAATTATGATTAACTTGTTTTCTTTCTAGTTTACCCTTTAATTTTGTCTGTCTAGTGTGTGATAAGGGTTTGTGATCAAATAAGATTAGACTTGGGTTGTAGATATTAATTAGATTGCCTTGTTGTTTTTGTATGCTGTTGAATTGACATTATTAATAAATTGTTGAATTTTGTTTAAGTTATTTACTTGGTGTCCAAGATTCATAAGGTCGAGTTAGGAGCAATTGAGCAATTTTGAGCAATTTAGCAATTGTGTTTTCATAGACTTTATAGACTTCATAGAATCCTTACAATGTGCTGAGAATCCAGTGATTGCGAGGCTGGTTTGGTTTGACTTGTTATCCCTGTGTTGCAAAAAACATCACCGTGGCTTCGGACATACTTGAGTTCATTAATTTCTGAGGCACACAAAACCCTCAGGTTTCTAACTCAACAAACCCAAACTCAACTTGATAATATGATACTAAAAATATGTATATATAAATCGCACAGTTTACATTAGAGGTGAAGTTGTAGAAAAGAGGAGAAGACAACTTTGGATTTTAGTAAAGCCTTTGACCAGGTTCTACATGATTGTTAATAGTAAAGTTTGGTCATATGGGATTCAGGGTGAGCTTGCCAATTAGATACGTAATTGGTTTAACGGCAGGAGACAGTGACTAATAGTGGAGGGTTGCCATTCAGACGGGAAGCCTGTGACCAGCAGTGTTCCACAGGGATCGGTTCTGGGTCCTTTTTTTTTTTGTCATTTATATAAATAATTTGGATGAGAATATAGAAGGCATGGTTAAGTCTGTGGATGACGCTGAAATTGATGGCATAGCAGACAGTGAAGAAGGTTTTCTAAGAGTACAAAGGGATCTTGATCAAGTGGGTCAATGGGCTGAAAAATGGCAGATGGAGTTCAATCTGGATAAATGGGAGGTTTTGCATTTAGGCAAAATGAACAAGGGTAAGGCTTGTACAATTAATGATAGGGCCTTGGGTAATGTTGTAGCACAGAAGGACCTGGGGTGGAGATACATAATTCTTTAAAGTTTGCATCACATAGAGACAGGATGGTTTAAAAAGTCATTTGGCATGCTTGCCTTCCTTACGCAATCTGTTGAGTACAGGAGTTGGGATGTTATGTTGAGATCGTACAGGGTGTTGGTGAGGCCCCTTCTGGAATACTGTGTCCAGTTCTGGTCGCCCAGTTATAGGTAGGATACTATCCAGCTAGAGATAGTTCAGAAGAAATTTACCAGGATGTTGCTGGCTATGGAAGGTTTGAGTTATAAGGAAAGACAGGAATGGCTGGGACTGGAACATAGAAGGCTGAGAAGTGACCTGAAAGAAGCTTATAAAATAACGAGAGGTATAGATAAAGTTGATGGTAGTTGGCTCTTCTCTAAGATGGGGAGTTTCAAGACTAGGGGCCACATTTTTAAGGTGAGAGGAGTGAGATTTTAAAAAGACATGAGGCAAATTTTTTTACACGTTCACATGTGGAATGAACTTCCTGATGGAGTGGTGGATGCGGATACAATTACAACGTTGAAAAGATGTTTGAATGGATATATGAATATGAATGGTTTGCAGGCATGTGGGCCAAAGCAGGCAGGTGGGACTAGTTTAGTTTGGGATTATGTTCGACATGAACTGGTTGGACCAAAGGGTCTGTTTCTATGGTGTATGAATCTGGTGCATCTGAACCCTACACAATGTTGGTCAAATTAATGGTCTCTCAACTGTTAAGAACAGAACTCAATGATCAGTCATTACATTGAAAACATACTTAAGGTAGCAAATGCCATTTACTTATGGTAGTTGAAGTTGGCAAGAGATTTTGGACTTGCCCACCAAATGATTCCAAACTGTACAGCAGGCTGTGCAGGCTCACAGTTCTGAGGAAGGGTCACCGGACCTGAAACATTAACTCTGATTTCTCTTCACAGATGCTGGCAGACCTGCTGAGCTTTTCCAGCATCTTCTGTTTTTATTTGCATTTAAACTTAAAACTCCAGATTTACAGCATCTGCAGTTCTTTGGTTTTTATTTGTGCAGGTTCACCAACAGACTCAACCCTAATGTGCGGTTTCCAGTTTTCAGGAACTAATACACAGTATCAATAAAAATAGCAATGACAGAATAATTTGAATTTCGCACAAGCAAATAGAGTGAATCTGATGTCACTTTCAGGGAGTATCAGGCCGTGGCCAGTCAAGTTTCCCCACCCAATGAAAATGGTGGCTGGTGAGAAATGGATGGAAAATTTCTAAGTGCAATCCCACCTGCTTCCGATGGATTTGTTCAATGTTCATAGAAGAAAACTTGGCCCAAAACTTGGAATTGGGCTGAAGAACATGGTGTTGCATATTGGTGAGAAGATTGGGCAGAGGGATTTTGAGAGGAGGTGGGGGTGTGGGAAGATGTGAAGGTATATTTTGAGAAAGTAAGTAAACTGATATGATGAGGTGGGGGAGGGTTATTGTAAGAATATGGAGGAGACAGAAATAGCTTAGTGTTGCTGGGATAGAGGCTCAAGTTGAAGATGCAAGGGTCATGTTTTAATATCTTTTTATGGAATGTGCGGTATTGCTGGGAAGCCTATCCCTAATTGGCTTATTGTTAGTATTGAACTGTGTGATTGAACTATTGCACACCATTTAGTGCAAATAAACCCACCATGCAGAGGGAAAATCTTTTCCGTGGTACATCAGTACAACTGAAAGACTTGCTTCGCCAATTCAGAGGTCAGTTGAGAGCCAACCACATTCTGCAGGTCTAGAGTAGCATATCAGCCAAGTCGGGTTACGATGGCGGATTTCCTTCTCCTTTACGGGTTATTGAACCGGTAGGGCTCTTATAGCAATGAATGGTAGTCTCAGTAATGGTACCATGAAACTAGCTTTGATTTCCCATTAATTAACTTGATTAGTTACAAATTGATTTCCACCTGTTTTCCTGGTGGGATTTGAACCCTTATCCCCTGATCATAGAACATAGAATCCACCATACAATCCCTACAAGGTGGAAACAGGCCCTTCGGCCCAACAAGTCCACACTGACCCTCAGAGCATCCCATCCAGACTCATCCCCCCTAATCTACACATCCCTGAACACTAAGGGGGCACTTTAGCATAGCCAACCCACCTAGCCTACACGTCTTTGGACTGTGTGAGGAAACCAGAGCACCCGGAGGAAACCCACGCAGGTACGGGAGAATGTGCAAACTTCACACAGTCGCACAAGGCTGGAATCAAACCCTGGTCCCTGGTGCTGTGAGGCTGCAGTGCTAACCACTGACCAATGTGCCACCCTTATTAAGCTGGGCTTCTGCACAACTAGTCCATCAAAATTGCCATTATATAACCTTTTTAATACAGGATCAGAGGAGAGGGTTGGTTGTTGGGATTGAGGGATTAAGAAAGAATGTGGAGTAGCCAGTAATGGTTGGTACATTGAGCTAAGGAAACCATCCAGCAGATGGTGACACCAAGGAACGTTTGATCATTGTCAGAAAGTGGTAGTTGTGATTGTGATCTAGTTTAAAGGTGTGGTTGACTTAAAGAATTTATTGAGATGCTGGAATTATGGGCTGTGGTGGTGAGTTGCGTTTGAAGGATGTGTTCGGAACCTGATGTGTGTTAGGATGCTGCAAGAATGTTTTGTGAGATTTGGTGAGAATGAGGAGCAGGTGGTTAAGACCCAACTGGTTCATTAATGTCCAAGAGGGAAGAAAACCTCCTATTGCCAGTCTGGCCTAAATAAAGGTTTAAGCTAATTGTTCAGCAATGTGCGACATATTTGTATGAAGCATGAGAGAAAGTCCAAAGAACCGGGAAAGATGAAAATCGTGAGAATACTTCAGAAATCCAAGTTGTCAAGATGGTAGAATAGGATGCTCCAGCCAGACCTTGTCTGCTCCACCTGCTCTTTTATTTTTCTTCTTTTTCTTTTCCTTCTCTTCCTCCTAGTGTTTTTTTTTCTCTCTCCTCCTTTTCTCCTTTCAATTCTCGGCTTCCTCTGAATGATGACATCCTGTAGCAGCCTCCCCGCCATTACATGTTGACCTCCTGGTCTCACATTGCCGTCGCATGGTGACCTCTACCTTGCACAGTGGCCTCCTCCTGTAGAGGCCTCCGAGTGTGGCATAGTGGCCTCCCGCAGCAGTCCCCTCCTGTAGGGGCCTCCCGGTGTGGCATGACCTCCTGGCCTTGTGCAGCGGCCTCCTGGTGTGGTGTGGCAACCTCTGGCCCCCTGCAGCAGTCTTCCAGCATCGCCAATGTGGTGCAGAGTTGGGGACTGGAAGCTAAGTCCCAGCATGGTCTGCTTTACTGAACTCTTTTCTAAATCAGTGTTGTAATTTGCAACTTATAAATTTTTCACTATATTCATTCAGTGTATGTGACAATAATAGCTATTCCCATCTCTGCCTCCCTCTCTGCAGAAAGGATAAAACAGGCGAATGCAAGTCACAACTGTCTGTGTACCAGTGCAGAATGGGAAATATGCTCAATAATGCAAAAATTACAGTGTGAGAGTGTGATTATAGCGGTATGAATGGGTATGTGGTTCAAATACTGGAAGCATGGCCATTTAATATTCCTGGCTACTATGTACTCATCAGAGACAGAAAGAAGGAGAAATTGAAAATGGGTGACAGTATTGATCAACAATTTGCAGCATTGGACAAGGATAATATACTTGAGCATTTCAATCTTACAGAATCCCTACAATGTGGAAACAGGCCCTTTGGCCCAACAAGTCCACCCAGACCCATCCCCATATAACCCATCTAATCTACACATCCCTGAACACTATGGGCAATTTAGCATAGCAAATCCACCTAGCCTGCACATCTTTGGACTGTGGGAGGAAACCGGAGTACCTGGAGGAAGCCCACGCAGACACTGGGAGAATGTGCAAACTCCACACAGACAGACGCCCGAGGATGGTACTGAACCTAGATCCCTGGTGCTCTGAGGCAGCAGTGCTAACCAGTGAGCCATCGTGCTGCTCTGATTCTGATCTATGTAATTAGAATTCAGAACTTTGTTGTTGGGTGGATACCATAGGTTAGCAAATAGTGGGAAAAAGGTAAACAAGCTAATTTTATAAAAATGCAAGCACTGTGAGACTTCAGTAATCCAAATAATCTGCAATAGTTACAGTATAATTGTGAAAGAGGAGGGAATCTTGCTGAATTGTATGCAAGAAACCATTGTTCAATATGTTTTCAGTCCAATGGAGAAGGAAGCCTGCTGAAACTGATTCTGGAAGTTCAATCGGGCAAGTAGGAAATGGTTTCGGAGGTGAACGTGCTGAATCCGATACACAACGACATCAGGTTTAGAATACAAATGGAGAAGGAACAAAGGTGAAAATGCTCCAATGCAAGATAATGAAACCCAGGGAATTGGGAAGGAATATGGCCTGCGCACCTTGAAATCGAACAGCAGCAGATAAAATAGTAAATAATTAGAACAGTACAGCACAGACCCAGGCCCTTTGGCTCGTATCTATGATGACATTCCAAACTAATCCCATCTGCTTGCATATGGTCCGTAATCCTAGGTTCCCTGCCTGTTCATGTATCTGTCTGAATGCTTCTTGAACTTTGCTAGTTCATTTGCTTCTATCTCCCCTTGTAGTGCATTCCACACACCTACCACATGTGTGAAATAAAACTTCTTCTGTCACACACCTTGTTTAAACTTTTTCCCTGTCATCTTAAACCCATGCCCACTAGTATTTGGAATTAGAATTAGAATTAGGTTTGTTGTCATATGTATTCAAGTTACAAAAGAGCAGGAGTGCAGTGAAAAGTGCAAAATGTTGCCACCATCCAGTGCCATCTTAGGTACAAAGTACCTAGGTACAAAAAAAAAAGAAAAAAGTTATACTATATTACAGACGCACATAGTATAAGTGTAAGTTAGGAAAATAAGAAATAAATCTATTTTATAAAAAGGACATTACATTCTTTCTCTCAGGGCTTCTATTTGGTCTGACCAGGCTCCACCAGTTCCCAACCAGTAGCCACCTTCACTCTGGGCCTCTTGGCCATCCCTGCTTTGCTCCTGGCCTGCCGGCTGTTGTCGCTGCTTCGGTACTGGGCTGAAGAAAAAGGAAGGAAGGGGGAAAAAAATTAGAGAGGTAAAACAATGAAAAGGAACCGACAGAGCGGACAAGCTCTGGTTGTAGTGTCTGCTTCACTGCCATCTTGGAATATTATCTTGGTGATGATCTTAGCGTATTTGACATTTCCACCCTAGGAAAAAGATTTCAAGTGTCCATCCCATTCATGCCCCTCATAATTTTACATACTTCTATCAGTTCGTCCCTCAGCCTCCGATGCTCCATCGTAAATGAACAATAAGAGGCCATCAAAGAAGAGGTCATGTAAGTTCAGCCTTAAAAAATTTCTCACCCATAGCAATGGAATCTCATTTTAAAGAGCACCTGGAGACCAAAATGAAGAAGAAGAGAGGTTTTTGATAAATTGTTGTTCATAGAATCCCTACAATGTGGAAGCAGGCCCTTTGGCCCAACCAGTCTACCCAGACCCATCGCCCTATAACCGGACTAATTACATATCCCTGAACACTATGGGCAATTTAGCATAGCCAATCCACCTAGTCTGCACATCTTTGGACTGTGGGAGGAAACCCACGCAGACATGGGGAGAATGTGCAAACACCACACACAGTTGCCCGGTGGTGGGATTGAACCGGGTCCCTGGCACAGTGAGGCAGTAGTGTTAACCTCTGAGCTACCATGCTGCCCCGTGTTGTTGGCACTTACTCGTTAATGAGTATGATTGTTAACTTACGAAATTCGGCGTCATTGGTCATGTGTTCTGTGGACCGTTGCTCGGCTGATGAGCCTCACCCTATAGCTTCATATCTGACCACACATTTGGCAGTTTTCCAAGAAGTGGAATTGGCCTCGATCATTCACAAGCTCCCTTTATCGTACTTCCTCTTGTGAATGGATGTTCTTGAAGAATTGTGACCCTTCACACAGGAGGTTCCTTCTGAGCAATGGACTCCCGGGGTTGTCATATATGTTGCATTCTTCAGCCAAGCCTTTCGAAAATCTTTGAAGCTCTTCCTTGGTCCTCCTCTCGTTCAAATGCCTTCTTTGAGCTGGGCATTTGGAATGTGTGCATCCTAAGCACCTCGTCAGCCAAGCAGAATAGATTTCAGATGGTCATAGCTTTTGTGCTGGTGCTGTTAGCTCCTTCAAGGATGCTGTTCTACCAGCTGATATAGAGAATCCATCTCGGACAGCATTGATGATGCTTCTTCAGCACCTAGAGGTGGAGTGTATACGTTGTGCAAGTTTAGGAGCCACATGGAAGAGTCAGAAGGACAGCTGTCTTATACACTGTATCAATATAGATATTATGAGCATTGAAGACTCCTTCTTAGGCATCTGAAAGTGGTGCTTGCAGATTAGATGCAGTGTTGGAGCTCCACATTGAAATTAGACTCAGACAAGGGGTAGCTCCTCAAGTAGGGGAAGTGTTCCATGTTTGGGAGTATTTTTCACTTCATCGTCATGAGGGATAGATCAGAACCTACCTTGAGACAGTTTTGGTAAAGGATTTGTGTTGTCTTGAGGTTGAGGCTGAAACCAAATCTTTGTATGCGGCCGCAGAGGCATTAAGCGAGGCTTGAAGATTCTTTTCCAAGAGAGCAGGGATGGTGTTGTCATCTGCATCCTGAAGTTCCACAAGTGATGTCTGTGTTGTTCTCCTTTTGGAATTTAATTGGTTGAGTTTTGAAATGTTTTCTGTCCATCCTGTAGACCTTGTCCACTGGGAAACTTGTTTTGACAAGATGAAGGTTGGGCTGAAAGTGAAGAAAAGAGATGAGCAACTAAAAGATGGTTGACAAGTTTAGGGCAGTGGATGTTGTCTACATGGATTTTACTGAAGCATTTGACAAGGTCCCTTGTGATAGGCTCATCCAGCAGATCAAGTTACTTAGGATCCATGCTTAGTTAGCAAGTTGGATACAAAATTAGCTTGGTCGTAAGAGTATTTCTGGAGGGGGGTTTTCTGGCTGGAAGGCTCTGATCAGTTGTGTTCTGCAAGGGTCAATGCTGGGACCTCTCCTGTTTATAACATGTATAAATGGTCCGGATGAAAATGTCAGTGGTCTGTTTAGTAAGTTTGCAGATGACATTAAAAATGGTGAAGTTGTGGATAGTGAGGAAAGATATCAAAGTATGCAGTAGAATAAAGATCAGTTAGAAATTTGGGCGGAGAAATAGCAGGTGGCGCTTAATCCGGACAAGGTGTGAAATGCATTTTGGGCGGTCAAATACAAGAAGGTATACAGTAACCGGCACAACCCTTAGGAGCACTGGTATACAGAGGGATCTTGAGGTGCAAGTTCATAGCTCCCTGAAAGTAACAAGTGGTTGAGGTGGTAAAGAAGACATGGCATGCTTGCCTTCATTAGTTAGAGCTTTGAGTATAAGCTTTAGTCAGGCCACATTTGGAGTATTGTGTGTCAGTCTGGTCACCACACTACAGGAAAGATGTGGAGGCTTTGGAGAAGGTGCAAAAGAATTTTACTATGTTGCCTGGATTGGAGTTTATTGGTTACGTGAAGAGGCTGGATAAACTTGGATTGTTTTCACTAGTGTCGGAGGCTGAGAGGCGACCTGATAGAAGTATATAAAATTAAGGAGCATGGATAGGGTGGATTTTAAGGGTCTCTTTCCTGGGATAAAAATGTCAAAACTAGGGGGCATAGGTTAAAGGTGAGAGGGGGAGATTTAAACAATATGTTCAAGGAAAGTTTTTCCCAGCATTGTAGGCACCTGGAACATGGTGTTAGAGAATGTTAGAAGTGTAGATGATAGCAACATTTAAGAGGCACTCAAACAGACAAGTGAACAGGCAGGGAATGGAGGGAGAGATAGTAGGAACTGCAGATGCTGGAGAATCCGAGACAGCAAGGTGCAGGGCTGGATGAACACAGCAGGCCGAGCAGAAACATAGGAGTTTCGGGCCTAGACCCTTCAACGTCAGCCTTTCTGCTCCTATGATGCTGCTTGGCCTGCTGTGTTCATCCAGCCCTGCACCTTGCTGTCAGGGAATGGAGGGATATGGACCATGTGAAGATAGATGAGATTAGCTTAGCATGGAATCATGGTCAGCATAGACGTGGATTGAAGGGCCTGTTCCTGTGCTGTTCTGTGTTCTATATTTTATAATACGATAACACATCCTTGTTTGAGTCTTGGCCTCAAGCGATTCTGTCATATTACCATCTGTAATGATGATCGCCAACACCTTATCATGGAGAGTGTTGATGAATTTCTCTGGACAGCTGGTGATTGACTGAGTCAAAAGCCTTGGTCCGATTGATTGAAGGCATAAAGAGTGGCCACGTTGTTCCAGGCATTTCTCTTGGAGTTGTTGAGCAGTGAAATAAATGCATGTCCACAGTTCCATAGTTTGGTTGGAAGCCACATTGGCTTTTTGGAAGAATTTCTTCAGACAGTGGGAGAAGGTGCCAAGCAAGGATTCGGACAATGATCTTCAAGCGATGAAGATTCTACTGTAGTTTCCACAAGGGAATGAGAGACTTTTTTGATAAATAGAGTTTCTTGTATACTGGAGAATTGCAGAAGGAGTGTGAGATGAGCAGAGCTCACGGAAATATAGTAGCAATAACTAATGTAAAAGAAATGTAAAATGGTTTTGGAATACAAATAGTAAAAAAGATGTGAACTGATTTGGGAGCAGAAAGTAGGACAGAAACCATGGATGAAGATCAAAATGAGTACTTTTCCTAAAAAAAAAGGATCTGTCAGTATCACAGTAAAGGCAACAGTAGTAGTTCAGGGATAAATAAAGAGGAGATATTTAAAAGATTTACAGTTCTCAAGGAAGAAAACTCACCCAGTCTAAGTAGGAGGTGCCTCTGGCCACAACAGATCAAACCTTATGGTGTCTGTGTGCTGTAGGGAGGGGAACTAACACTCCAGAACCCCAGGGCAATATTCTGGGGACATGAATTCGAAATCTACCATGGCAAATGGTAAAATTTGAATTCAGTAAAAATCTGAAATAAAGAACTGGCCTAATGGCAATCATGTAACCAAAGTTAATGATTGTAATGAGCCTGCTTGGTCTGATCTACTTGTGTCTACAGACCCACAATGTGGTTAACTCTTAACAATCAGGTATGGGTAATAAGTGCTGGCCCAGACAATGACACCCACATCTGCAAAGGAAGTTTTTAAAAAAAAAAAATGCATCCCTGTTCAAAAAGTGATGAGGAATGAACCTGGCAAACACAGCAATCTATAAAAATGTAAAACGTAGGGTGCATTTGCTGAATCACTTTGGTTGTGAATGTTTGGTGATTTGTGTAATCTTTAGCATTGGATTGTTTAAAGTATAAGTTTGCTGTGACTATCCTAACTGTGTTTGTATGTTTATTCCACAGCTCTCCATATTAAGGGAAATGTCCAACGTAGAAGTGATTACATTAAGGTAATGAAGCTTAGGGAAGATAACATCATGTAAAATGTAGTTGTCCAATAGAATTCATTCAGTAGATAAAGTAGTTGCTACAGCAATGCTGCTTTTGCCACATGACCTCATTTTGGTAGAAAACATATGTAAAAATGAATGGAATCATGGAAACATACAAACAAAAGAGTAGGCATCTCGAGCCGTTGAGCCTGCTTAGCCATTCAGTAAGATCATGCTGATCTTGTTTTAACTTCAACTCTACATTCCTGCATATCTCTGATATCTTTCATCCCTTGGTAATTCAGAATCTATCTACCTCCACCTTAAAAAAAAAAAATATAAAAGTTCTGCATTCTCTGCCTTTTAGAGGAAAGGAATTCCAAAGACTCAACCGTCGCAGGGGGGAAATAAAGTTTTCTCATCTCTGTTTAAATGGGTTGCTCCTTATTTTTAAACTATGACCCCCTAGTTCTAGATTCTGCCACAAGAGGAAACATCCTTTTGACATCCACCTGGTCATGTCCCATCAGGAATGAACTTGTTTAAATTAAATCACCTCTGACTCTTTTAAACTATTGGTTACAGGTCTAGCCTTTCCTTTGTAAGGCAATCTGCTCATTCCAGGTATTAGTCTGGTAAACCTGCTTTGAACTGCTTCCAGTGTATTAACATTCTTCCTGTAAGTACGATGACAGTGCTGTACACAATACTCCAGATGGGGTCTCAACTCCCCGTATAACAGAAGCATAGCTTCCTACTCTCGCATTCAACTCCACTTGCAATAAAACGTTATATTCTATCAGTTTTCCTGATTTACTTGCTTTACCTATCTTCTGTGATTCATGCACTAGGACACCCAGATCTCTTTGCAGCCTCTTACCATTTAGGTAACATGCTTACCTAACGTTATTCTGTCAAAATGGATGCTTTCACTCTTTCTCACATTGTACTTAATTTGTCAATTCTTTGCCTACTCACTTAACCTAGCTACATTCTTTTGTAGGCTCCTAATGTCCTCTCAACAAATTATGTTTTAACCTAACTTTGTGTTGTGTGCAAATTTAGCTACCCTACCTTCGGTCCTTCATCAAAATCATTTATTGACATTGTAAGAACTTGAGGCCCCAGCACCAAGCCTTGTGACACCACTTGTGATATTCTGCCAGCCTGAAGAAAAAAATATTTATTCTTACTTTCTTCTTCCTGTTAGCCAGCCAGCCAATCCATGCCAATGTGTTATCTCCTACATTATGAGCTTTTATTTTCTGCAATAAGCTTTGTGATGCTTAAACCACCCTGTCTACTGTGACACCACTTTCAAGAAACTACATACCTGTACCCCTAGGTGTCTCTGTTCAACAAAACTCCCCAGGGCCCTACCATTAACTGTGTAAGTCTTGTCCTGATTTGTCCTCGCGTTTATCAGAATTAAACTCCATCTGCCATTCCTTGGCCCACTGGTCCAGTTGATCAAGATCCCGCTGTGCTCTTAGATAACCTTTCTTCACTGTGCATTCTACCACCAATTTTGTTGTCATCCACAAACTTACTAACCATGCCTCCTATATTCTTGCTCAAATCATTTATATAAATGAGGAACAACAGTGGATCCAGCAATGATCCTTGTGGCACACCACTGGTCCTAGGCCTCTAGCCCTGTACTGCCCACCCACTGTCACTCAGTTAAGCCAATTTTGTATCCAGTTGATCCCATGTAATCTAGCCTTACCAACAAGTCTACCATACAGTACCTTGTCAAAGGCCTTGCTAAAGTCCATGTAGACAACATCTACTGCACTGCCCTCATCTATCTTCTTGGTCACCACTTCAAAAAGTTGTGAAATATGATTTCCCATGCTCAAAGTTATGTTGATTATCCCTAATCAGTACTTGCCTTTCCAAATGCAAGTAGATACTGGCACTACTGACATTAGCCTCACTGGTCTGTAATTCCCTGGCTTTTTCTTGCAGCCTTGCTTAACATTAGCCACTCTCCAGTCTTACAGCACCTCCCCTGTAGCTGTCAATACACATATCCTCGCTAGGGACATCACAATTTCTTCCCTAACTTCTCAAAATGTCCTGGGATACACTTGATCAGATCCTGGGGATTTATCAACCTTTTTATGTGTTTAAGATCTCTAGCACCTCCTCTTATGTAATGTGGACTTTTTTTTCCAAAACATCATTATTTAGTGGCCAGAATTCCCTAGCTTTCATGTCTTTCTCCATGGTAAATACTGATAAGAAATATTCGTTTAGGATCTCGCCCATCTCCTGTGGCTCAACACGTACATGATCTTTGTTGATCTTTTCATAGCCCTATTCTCTCCCTAGTTACTTTTTTTTTTGCCCTTAATATACTTAAGAGTATTAGAGCTGTACAGCATGGAAACAGACCCTTCGGTCTAATTTGCCCATGCCAACCAGATATCCTAAATTAATCTAGTGCCTTTTTTGGCAAGCAATGGTCCATATTCCTCTAAACTCTTCATATTCATATATCCATCCAGATGCCTTTTAAATGTTGTTACTGTACCTGTCTCCACCACTTCCTCTGGGAGTTCATTCTATACACCCACCACTCTCTGCATGAAATGTTGCCCCTGGGTCCCTTTTAAATCTTTCCCCTCCCACCTTTAAGCTATGCCCTCTAATTTTGGACTCCCCCACCCTAGGGAAAAGACCTTGTCCATTCACCCTATCTATGTCTGTCATGATTTTATAAACTTCTATAAGCCTCTGTCGCTCTGGGGAAAATAGCCCCAGTCTGTTCAGCCTCTCTCTATAGCTCAAACCCTCCAACCCGAGCAATGTTCTTGTAAATTTTTTCTGAACCCTTTCAGGTTTTACAATGTCCTTCCTATAGCAGGGAAACCAGAGTTGAACACAGTATTCCAACAGTGACCTAAACAATGTCTTGTACAGCTGCAACATGACCTCCCAGTCCTACACTCAAATCATTGACCAATAAAGGCAAACATAATGAAGATAGGGTCACCTTTGTCCTCACTTTCCGCCCCACCAGCTTCCACATCCGACATATTATCCTCAAACACTTCTGCCAACTCTAATTAGACCCCACGGCCCCAGAACATCGTCAACTCCCACCCCTCGCTGCCTTCCACAAGGACCATTCCCTTCGTCACTCCTTAATTCACACCACACTCCCTACCAACCGGTCCAACCCCACTGCTACCTTCCCCTGTAACCGTAAAAGATGCAACACCTGCCCACACACCACCCCTCTCACCTCTATGCTGGCCCTAAACAGCCTTTCTTGGTGTGACAGAGCTTCACCTGCTGTATCTCCAAACTTGTCTACTGCATCCAATGGTGCCGATTATCGTCCTCTCTAATCAGTGAGACCAAACGTAGACTAAATGATTGTTTCGTCGAACATCTTTGCCTGACCCGTAACAGCCAGCCTAACCTCCCAGTCACCGCCCATTTCAACCCACTCACCACCCCCACTTCTCCTCCAACATGTCTGTCCAACACCTTTTTATCTTCCGCCTGGGCACCCTATAGCTTGGAGGACTCAATATTTGAGTTCTTCAATTTCAAATAGCCCCTTCCCACCCAGCCCCCAGTTCCCTTTCCAGCCCCACCGCCTCCATTCTATTTCACCTCCTGATCCTCCCTTCCAGCCACCAACTGGATTCATTCCTCCCATCAACCAACCAGGTCGTACCTACTACCATCTGTCCATAGATGGTGTCCATCTGTTACCGACATTTCACTACCCTCCCCCCACCACCATATGCAGCTCCCCCTACCCCCACATCCAGTCCTGAAGAAGGGTAATACCCGAAGTGTTGACTTCTCCTTTCCTCCAGATGCTGCCTGGCTAGCTGAGTTTTTCCAGTCTCCTGTTTGTCCACCTTGGATTCCAGCATCTGCAGTTCTTTATGCTTGTAGAATCTCTTTGAAGTCTCCTTTTATAATATCTGCTGCAAAGCTATCTAATGTCCCCTTTTTGCCCTCCTGACTTCCCTGTTAAGTATACCTCTACAGCCCCATACTCCTCAAGGGATTCACTTGATCCCAGCTGCCTAAACTTGACGTATGCCACATTTTTGTCAATATCTCTAGTTATCCATTGTTCCCGACTCCTGCCAGCCTTGCCCTTCACGTTGACAGGAACATGCTGGCCCTGAACTTCCATAGTCTCACTTGTGAAAGGCTCCAATTTTTCAGACGCCCCTTTACCTGCAAACAGCCTCCCCCAGTCAACTTCTGAAAGTTCCCATGTAATGCCATCAACATTCGCCTTGCCCCATTTGAGAACTTGAAACTTTAACTTTTGCCTTTCCATAACTATTTTAAAACTAATAGAATTATGATCACTGGTCCCAAGTGCTCTCCATTAGCACCTCAGTCACTTGCCCTGCCTTATTTCCCAAAAGGAGGTCAGGTTTTGATCCTTCTCTAATGAAGCCATTGATTGTGATAGTTTTCCCGAACACACACAACAAATTCCTTCCCCAATTGATTGATTTTATTGTCACTGCACCTAAGAACAGCGAAAAGCTTTGTTTCTGAGCAGTACAGACTGATCATAGTAAGCAAGGACATGTAGATTGTAGGGTGTGTTTTTTTTTTAAAAAAAAGCTTGCACAGAGGCATACGGGTTACATTGCAAAGGGTGTGCACTGGGCAAGATCAGCATTAGCAGGATCAGCATTATTTGAAGTTGGAGAGTCCATTCATCAGTCTAATAATGGCAAGGAAGAAGCTATCAATGAAACTGCTGGTGTGTGTGTTCAAGCTTCTGTATCTTCTGCCTGACAAAAGAGGTTGTAGGAGAGCATTTCTGGGGTGCGGTGGGTCTTTGATGTTGGCAGCCTGTCTGCGGCAATGAGTCATGTAAATGGAGTCCATGAATAGTAGGTTGGCTTCTGTGATGGGCTGAGCTGTGCACACAACCTTCTGTAGTTTCTTACAGACCTGGGCAGAGCAGTTGCCATACCAGGCTGTTATGCACCCAGACAGTGTGCTTTTACTGGTGCATCTGTAAAAGTTGGTGAGGGGCCTTGTGGACGTGCCAAATTTCCTGAGCCGCGTGAGGAAGAAGAGGCATTGTTGTGCCGCCTTGATCGTCACATCTACATGGGAAGTCCAGGACAGGTCGTCGGTTATCATTGATGTAGATGGGGGTGTGTTCTCTTCGTTTATTTCTGAAGTCAGTGATCAGTCCTTTAGTTTTGCTGATGTTGAGAGAGAGAGGTTGTTCTCATTGCGCCATGCCACTAAGCCCTCGATCTCCTTTCTGTTTTCTGACTTGTCGTTGTTTGATATCCATCCTAGTACAGTGGCATCATCAGCAAACTTTAGATGGCATTTGTTTGGAATTGGGAACACATTCATGGGTGTACAAAGAGTACAGCAGGGGGCTGAGAACATATCCTTTGGTGGGGGGCTTCAGTGTGGTGTTATCGTGGAGGAGGTGCAGTTGAGTGTCTTCACTGATTGTGGTCTGTGGGTCAGAAAGCTGAGGACCCAGTTACAGAGGGCAGAGCCAGGACCTAGGTCGGAGTTTTGACATCAGTCTGGAGGGGATAGTGGTGTTGAAGGCAGAGCTGTAGTTGATGAGCAAGAGTCTGACCTAGGTGTCCTTGTTGTCCAGATGTTCCAGGGCTAGGGAAACGGCGCCTGCTATGGACCTGTTACATTCTTGCAGACCTTATAGACCTGTATATTCTTACAGAGGATTGAGGCAGGCTGGAAGACTAGAGTTTGTGGGCCATGACCCAGCCGCTCAAAGCACTTCATGATTATGGAGGTCAATGTCACTGGGTGGTAGTCATTAAAGCACGGTTGCATGTGCTTTCTTAAATACTTGGCTGCTGGTGGTCTTCTTGAAGCAGGTGGGGACTTTAGTCTTGTCAGAGGGAGAGGAAGATGTTGGTGAATACTCCGCCACTTGGTCTGCACAGGATCTAAGTGCTTGACCGGGGACTCCATCCGGCCCGTCGCTTTCCTTGGGTTGACTCTCCGGAAGACCGATCTGACTTCTGCAGTGGTGACAATGGGCACAGGTGCGTCTGGGGTTATGGGGGCAGGTGATGCTGTGCCACTGGCATTCTGTTCGAACTGATCATAGAAAGCGTCGAGTGCATCAGGGACCAATTTGTCTTTGTCCACTATCTTGCTCTGCTTTATTTTGTATCCCATAATGTTGTTTAGGCCTCACCACAGATGACGGGAGTCTGTATGGTTGGTTTCGGCCTCTAACTTGGTCTGGTACTGCCTCTTGGCTTTTCAGAGATCATATCTGGATTTTCTGTATGGGTTTGGATCATCCAACTTGAATGCTGCATATCTGGTCTTCAGTAGGGAGTGGATTTCCCAGTTCATCCAAGGTTTCCAGTTGCGGAACACCTGGATTGACTTCTTTGGTACACAATCCTCCACACTTTTTTGTTAATGAAGTCTGTGACAGTGGTGGCATAGGTTTTCCGCTGAGCACTTGAATACTATCCAGTCCACCGAGTCCAAGCAGTCTGAGAGACAATTTTCCGTTGTCTTGGACCAGCATTGTACTACTTTTTGTGAAGGATCCTCCTGATTTTTTTTTTCTCCTTCTTAAATCTGATTTTCCAAAGTGTGGGTGTACGATGGAGTGGTAGGCATCTTTGCTGGTTGTGTAGCAGTGGTCCAGGATGTGCACTCCTCTAGTGGAGCAGGAGATGTGTTGGTGGTACTTTGGCAGCACCCTCCTCAGGATGGTTTGGTTGAAGTCACTGGCCATGATGAATAAGGCCCATCCAAGTCCTTAAAACTATGGCAGTCTCGGTCTATTTTTGGAAGTTAAAATCCCCTATATTACGACCCTATTATTCTTACAGCTATCTGCAATCTTCCTACATGTTTTTCCCTCACTTTTCCACTGACAATTGGGGTGGCCTATACTACAATCCCATCAAAGTGAACACTCCCTCCTTATTTCTTAGTTCCACCCACACAGCCTCACTGGGCAATTCCCCAGGAATATCCTAAATACTGCTGTGATGTTTTTCCTAGTAAGAAAGGCCACGGCCACTCCCACTCCTCTCTTGCTCCCCTTCTATCCTTCCTATAGGATCTGTGTCAGAACACTGAACTGCTAGTCTTGTTCATCTGCCTTACCGGTCAGGCCACTCGCATTGCAATAAATGCAGTTTAATTCATCAGTCTTTCTTCGCTCCTTGCTGTGCTCTTGCCTGCCTTGTCTATTTAACTTGCTCTCTTGAACATCTAGACTAGCCTCAGCCTTCTCTTTTGTCTCACTACTGTTTAGAGTCCCACCACCCTGCCAGACTAGTTTAAACCCTCTCAAGTAGTTCTAGCAAATCTCCCCCTGGATATTCATCCTCCACATCACAACATTTTAGAAGTATTTAGATAAACATTGAAATGTGATAGCATAAAAAGCTAAGGGCCAAGTACTGGAAAATGGGATTAGAATAGATTCTTAATGACTGGTGTGGGCGAAAAGGCCCTTTTCCATACCTTAAAACTCTGTGAGATTCCATGACTTTTTGGTCACTGAAGGAGTGATCATGGCATGGTTCATATCAGTCTGCTTCCCCACTGCTCCTCAAAGGGAAAAGTGAATATGAAGATATGTGAAGGAGAATAAGTTAGTTTCTCTGTATGAGATTACAGCTGGAGTACAGGAGAGTAGGAAATCAACCAAAGTTTCAGGCATGGATCACAGATTCAGACAGAATCATTGTCAAGGCAAACAGAAATGGGTTTGACCAAGAGGATCTGCACAGTTGTGTAATGGCTGCTTACTGTTGGGGTTCATGCAGAAGAACAGATGCCTTGGTTGAAGTGCCTTAGAGCTACTGAAACTGTCATGGAACCTGCCTCTATGCAAGCTCATGGAGTTGTTTTTCTTACTAGGTTTTCTCTGTGGGTTTTCTTATTTAAGCACTCAGAAATTTGTTGTTTCTTTTTCTGCACAGTGTGAACAACATCTCCTCTTTAGTGGATTTCCAATACTGTCAGAATATTAGCGAGCTTTACCTCCGGAAGAACAATATTCAAAACCTGGCAGAGATCTGCTACCTGAAGGGACTGCACCGCCTCAGGGTGCTGTGGTTATCGGAAAATCCTTGTTGTGGGGCAGACCCCCACAGGTACAGAATGACTGTCCTACGGAACCTGCCACAGCTACAGAAACTGGATAACCAAGGTATAGAAGAATTCCGTTCCTGCCCCATGATTTGGAGATATTTAGAGTTGTTGAGTCAGAGATCTACAGCACATCCCGTTGTGTACACGCTGGACAAAAACAACTATTTGACTACTTTGGTCCCATTTTCCAGTACTTTGCCCATAGCCTTGCATACGTTGGCATCTAAATACTTCAGTGTTCTGAGGGTTTCTGCCTGTACTGCACTTGTTTCAGATTCCCATCACCCTCTGGCTGAAAAAGTTTTTTTTTTCTGCACATCTCTTCTAACCATTCTGCCCCTTACCTTTAAATTTATGCCCTGTAGTCACTGATCCCTCCATCAAGGAGAAAAGCTTTTTCCTGTTTACCCTATCTATGCCCCTAATAATTTTTAAACGTGTCAATTATGTCCCCTCTCAATCTTCTCTGCTCTAAGAAAAACAACTCCAGTCTGTCCAATCTGTCTTCATATATGAAATCCGTGTTCGTTTGCAGGACCCAGGCATTACGTTCAGGAAAGGGGACTGGCATTACTGTCTCCTGAGTCACTGCAGTGTATGTTAAGACAGAAGTTATCAAAGCATTTCAAGGAGTCTCCTTGTATGCGACTCCACGCTGTACTGATAAAACTATTTAAAATTTACAGCAAGTTAAACACTATATATTTGTTTAATCATTGAATAATTTCCACAGCATGCGACAAATGGTCCAACCAATATAAAGGTAAATTTGCCATAGTCTTACCAAACCATAGGACTCCTGTCTCATTAGAGACAGAGAGACACAACTGGTGGTCGTTTATCATGAACATCACCATGCTTCTGGTGAGGGGAGAGGTTAAGAACGAGACTCCTCCATGATAATCTGAGCTAGTGCAGGAATTGAACCAACACAGTTGGCATCACTGTATCACAAACCAGTAGTCAAGTTAACTGACCCCCAACCGATATATTGAATTGGCTAAATGTTATTCACCCTGTCAAAACCCTGGGACTACCAGTCATCTTGCTAATGAGGGAGCTGCCATATAGTCTGGTAGGATGATGGCAACTTTATCAGAAGACTATAATAGATAGGAAGAGGAATGGGTCATTACATTCCTTGAGTCTGCTCTACCATTCAAGAGGATCATGGCTGATCCACATTGTGTTTTCCCCGTAATCCTTGATTCCCCTAATGATCAAGAATCTATCTATTTCAGCCTTGCATATACACAAGGACTATGCCCCCATATCTCTATGTGGCAAGGAGTTCCAAAGATACTACTCCAAGAGAAGAAATTCCTGCTCATCTCAGTCTTAAATTGGCAGCCCTTTATTAGAACATAGAACTATACAGCACAGGAACAGGCTCTTCAGCCCACGATGTTGTACTGAACACGACGCCAAATGAAACTAATACCTTCTGCGTGCCATTGATCCATATCCCTCCATTCCTTGCTATTAATGTGCTTATCTAAAAGTTCCTTAAATGCCCCTATTGTATCTGCCTCCACCACCACCCCTAGCAGTGCACTCCAGACTCCTGTCATCGTGTCAAGCCTCTTATGAGTCCTATACGTTTCATGATATTACCTCTCATTCTTTTAAACTCCAGTGAGTAGAGTCCCAACCTGTTTAGTCTTTGTTTGAAAGACAATCCCTATATATGAGGAATCATCCCAGTGAATCTTGTCTGAACTGCCTCCAATGAAATTATACCTTCCACAAATAAGGGGACAAAAACTGCTTACAATTCTCCAGGGTGGTCTCACCAGCACTTTTTACAGTTGCAGTAAAACCTCCCTACTCTTACATTCCAACCACTGCGAAATAAGGGCCAATATTCCATTTGCCTTCTTGATTATCTGTTGTACCCATACGCTGACTTTTGTGTTTCATGCACAACTCCCCCCAAGTCCTTCTGTGTTGCAGCTTACTGCAGTTTTTCTCCATATAGTATTCTGATTTTTCTTTTTTGTTTGTTCTCCCTTCCAAAATAAACAACTCATTTTATCTTTTTATAACCCGGATCACTCAGTTGGTAGAGCACGGGATTCATAATCCAATGTTGTGTGTTAATGTTGAGTACTCTTTGTACGGGCATTTGGGAGAAGGCACATCCAGAATGAAGTACATCCCATGTGAGTTTGTGTCACTGGAAATTTAGTGCATTGTGGGAATTCAGCACACAGGTTTATTTCTGTTCATAGTTTGTAAGATCCTTTTCAAGGTCTATTGTTTGTAAGGTTATATTCTTCAGCTTCAACTGAGCTGAGCGAAGGGAGTCCTAACTTAATAGCTGCAGCTTCATGAGTCTGTTATTTGGAAAAACAAACGAAAACAGTGATATTACCATGAAAGTGGTGTGTTAGTTAGTTGGTGAATTTTTAAAAAAGTATTTCTTTTTTGGAAGAACAAATTAACTGAGAAACAACAGGAATAAATGAAAATCAGGGCCAATATATGTAAGCAAAGTAGGGTAAGGGGAATACAGTTAGTGTAAGGAAAGTAAGTTAACAGTATTCTTACACAGGGTAATTATTAATTTTTTTTTAAGAAATGAGAGTTACTAAGGGGCTAATGCTCCTGTGCTGTGTGGCAAATCTTGGAAGCTTTAGTTGTCCCTGTTCACCCAGAGTGCAGAAACTATGTCCAGCTGCAACTACTGGCGAACTGCATGCAAATGCAAATGATTTCACTATCGAGCATCTGCAACACTGAATAAACATAGATAGTATGTTCAGTGAAGTGGTCATGCTACAGATGCAGACTGAACAGGTAAGAAGGATGGCCACCAGGCAGAGGAGTAGGCGGCAGTGTAGGAGTATCTTGCAGAAGTGGCACCATGGATGGGTCTGCTGCACAAGAGGAATGGAAAAAAGAATGGCAGGGCTATAGTGGTGGGAAATTCAGTTGTAAAGGGAACCAGCAGATATTACGGTGACTGCAAAAAGAGACTTCAGGATGATATGTTAGGGATTTCACTAAACAGCTGCAGGACATTATGAAGACGGAGGGCAAACAGACACAGATTGTGCTTAGAGATAGGAAGAACTGCCGATGCTGGAGTCTGAGATAACAGTGTGGAGCTGGAGGAACACAGCAAGCAGGCAGCATCAGAGGAGCAGGAAAGCTGATGTTTTGGGTCGGGACCTTTTGTCAGAAAAATGACTGTGCTTACATGTAGGTACCAACAACATCGGGTTAAAAAAACGATGTGGTCCTGAAAGCAGAATTTAGGGAACTAGGAAGTAGATTAGAGACCAGGATCTGAAAGACAATATTGGGTCCCCGTGTAACCAAGTACAGAAATAGGAGGTTAGTCCAGATGGATGAGTAGCTGGAGAGAGAGTGCAGGAGGGCAGACTTTAGATTTTTGGGATGTTGGGACCATTTTGGGGGTAGTGGAACCTAAAAAAGAGGATGGGTTGCATCTGACCCAAAATGGGACCAGCATCTTTCTGGGGAGGTTTGCAAGTGATGTCGGGAGGGATTTAAACTAATTTGGCAGGGGTGGGATCCAGAGACAATGTTCAGTAGGGAAGTGAATGTCCAAAATTAGAAGAGACAGTAAGTGAGACAGGAAGGCATAGACATTAAAGGCCAGTTAAGGCACAAACACGTTTGGCAAGGTTGGATGATATTTATTTTAATGCAAGGAGTCTGATGAACAAGGCACATGGGCTGAGGTTACAAATTAAAACATGGGGGTATGCTGTCATTGCTGTCACTGACACATGGTTGAGAGAGGGTAGGATTGGATCTCAGTATTCCGGGTTGGGTGGTGGTGGAAGCAGATATGATAAGGGCATTTGAGGGACTTTTTGATAAGCGCGTGAGCATGCGAGGAATGGAGGGATGTGGACCAAGGACCAGCAGAAGGGATTAGTTTCACTTGGCGTCATGTTTGGCACACATCGTGGGCCAAATGGCCCATTCCTGTGCAGTACAGTTCTATGTTCTATATAGGATCATCAGGTGAGATTGGGAAGAAGGTAAAAGAGAAGGAGGTGTTGCAGTTTTGATCAGGGAATCTATTACAGTAGTAAGGAAGGATGATATCTTAGAAGATTTCTCAAATGAAGCTATATGAGCTGACTTAGAAATCTAAAAGGAGCAATCGCAATGCAGTGAATGCACTATACACCCCCAAACAGAGAAACAGAAGAGCAGATATGTAGGAAAATTTCGGGAAACTGTAAATGTAATAGGGTAGTGATAGTTGGGGATTTTAACTTCCCCAACATTACCTGGGATAGTCATGGTGTGAAAGGTTTAGAGGGAACAGAATTTTTAATACATCCAGAGCAGCTTTTTAAGGCAGTATGTTGAAGGTCGTACAAAAGAGGACGAGGTTCTGGTTACCGTGGTGTAATGGTGAGCACGCTGGCTTCTGAACTCTGGCATCAGAGTTCAAATCTACGTGCAGTCTTCTTCCTGGTGAAGTGAGCGACGAGCATTGGAAAGTCTCGTTTTCGTCATTACAAAACCAAGACTTGAAGTGGGCTGATTTTTACAAATGCATGCTGTCTGCTTTGGGGGCGGCACGGTGGCTCAGTGGTTAGCATTGTTGCCTCACAGCGTCAAGGACCTGGGTTCGATTCCACCCTCGGGCGACTGTCTGTGTGGAGTTTGCACATTCTCCCCGTGTCTGCATGGGTTTCCTCTGGGTGCTCCGGTTTCCTCCCACAGACCAAAGATGTGCAGGTTAGGTGGATTGGCCATGCTAAATTGCCTGTAGTGTTCAGGGATGTGCAGCTTAAGTGGGTTATAGGGGAATGATTCTGGGTGGGATGCTCCAAGGGTCTGTTGGGCCAAAGGACCTGTTTCCATACTGTAGGGATTCTATGATGAGATCCCGAACTTAACCTTACAGTGTAGAGCATAGAACAGTACAGCACAGAAAGGGGCCCTTTGGCTCACGATGTTGTGCTGAACATGATGCCAAATGACACTAATCCCTTCTGTCTGCCCTTGCTCCCTACTCCTCCATTTCTTGTATATTCATCACCTAAACTGTCACCAGAAATGGAAATG